CGGTGCGTGGGCTTCTCATTGCGGTGGCTTCTCTTGTTGCGGAGCACGGGCTCCAGGCTTGCGGGCTTCAGTAATTGTAGCACGCGGGTTCAGTAGTTGTGACTCTCAGGCTCTAGAGCGCAGGCTCAGTAGTTGTGGCGCATGGGCTTCATTGCTCCACGGCACGTGGGATCTTCCCAGACCAGGGAAGATCGAACCTGTGTCCCCTGCATTGGCAGGTGGATTCTTAACCACTGTGCCACCAGAGAAGTCCCTTTGCACATTTTGAAATCAGGTAATTGGATTTGTTGTTGTTGAGTTGTAGGAGTTCTTTGTATATTCTGGGTCTTAACCCTTTATCAGATATGTGACTTATATTTTCTCCCGTTCTGTAGGAGGCCTTTTTACTCTGTTTGTTGTATCCTTTGTTGCTACACGTGTCCCTACTGTCAACCAGAAGACAATATTCCCAATGACTCTGAAGCCCCCATATACCCTGTTCCTCCCTTGACATAAGCAACCACTAGCCTTTCCTTACTTTTCTTACTTGTCCCACATATGCATCATCTCTAAACAATATATCTTATATTTTTAGAACTTATATAAATGGAATCATACTGGATGTATTTTTCTGTAACCTGTTGCTTTAGTTCCATATTACATTTGTGACATGCATCCGAGTGTGGTACATCTAGCTGGAGTTTATTCATTTTTATTGCTGAATGGTTTTCCATCATATGACTGCAACATAGTTTGTTTATTCACCTGTTAATGGACACCTGGGTTTTTTCTGGCTTTTGCTTATTATAAACAATGCTGCCTGTGAACGACCTGTACGTGTAATCTGGGGTATTTGTGAAGGACCTTCTCTAGGGTGTGCCCAAGAGTGACCTTGTTAGGCCATAAATATGTACATCTTTAATTCTACTAGATAACACCAAATTGTTTTCCAGAGTGGCTGTACAAGTTTGTGTAGCACCACAGTGTACGAGTTCCTGCTACTCCATATCAATGCCGACACCTGCTATTGTCTGACTTCTTAATTTCTATCAGTCAGTGGATGGGAATAAAAAGATATATCACTGTGGCTTTAATCTGCATTTCCAAAGACCCTCTGTTCTAACTTGCCAGGGAATAAAGTCTGGTCTTCTTTATGAGGTGGGGTAAAGATGTGAGCATCTAGCAGCTTCATATATATAAAGCTGATATATATATGATTGAAATATATGTGATCTAGCAGCCTCTTGCACAGGTGTCCAAGCTCCCATGCTTAAGCCAGAGTCTCTCATTATGTTGGAAAGGGCTATGGTATCCGTGGTTTTACCCCTCTTTTCCTCTCCTTTCATTCTTGCCAGAGCCTTGTGTCTATTTTACTAATTTCAAAGAACCAACTTTTGGTTTTACTGATCTTTGTTTTTTCTATTTCATTAATTTCTGCTGTCTTTGTGATTTCCTTCCTTCTACTTTCTTTGGGTTTATTCTACTGTGGTTTTTCTAACTTCCTGGGTTGGGGCTCAGCTTACTTTTTTAAGGCTATACATTAACTCTTAAGTACTGCTTGAGCTACACTCCACACGTTTTCAAATGTCGCGTTTTCATTGTTGTTCAGTTCTAACATTTTTTTAGATTTTCATTATATTTCTTTTTGGACCAATCAGTTATTGGGAAGTGTATTTTTAAATTTAAATTTGTAAATTTAAATTTTCAAACATATGGGAGGATTTAATTTTAGCTTTATTATCCATTTATGATCTTATTCTATTGCAGTTTGAGAACATGCTCTGTATGATACCCATTCTTCTAGCATTTGCTGAGATTTGTTTTGTGGCTGCGAACATGGTGGGTTTTATTAAGTGTTCAAGGTGAACTTGAAGTGTGTAGTCTCTACTTTGGGGATGTCTGTTAATCAAGTGTGTTCAATTTGTGCTATATTCTTCCTATTTTTGTCTGCTTGAGCTACCAATTGGAGTGAGAGGTAGTGTGATTTACTGTGGTGAATTTACTAATTTATTAATTTTTCCTTTTACTGCTACTTTTTTTTTTTTTTTTTTTTGCGGTACACGGGCCTCTCACTGCTGCGGCCTCTCCCGTTGCGGAGCACAGGCTCCGGACGCGCAGGCTTAGCGGCCATGGCTCACGGGCCCAGCCGCTCCGCGGCATGTGGGATCTTCCCGGACCGGGGCACGAACCTGCGTCCCCTGCATCGGCAGGCGGACTCTCAACCACTGAGCCACCAGGGAAGCCCACTGCTACTTTTTTGTTTGATGTACGTTTGAGGCTCTGTCATTAGGCAGCTACACACACATTCAGAATGGTTAATGCTTCTGAATGGATTATTTCTTTAATCATTGGGCAGCAACCCCTTTTATTCCTAATAATGATTTGTGCCCTGAGTACTTTGTCTGATGTTAGTTCCTCTCCACTAACTTCCTTTTGAATGGTATTCGCTGGGTATGTCTGTTTCCATTTGTATCAATTAGGGTTTGGTGGCAGACCACAGAACCATTCTAGCTTTGTAAGTTGAAAAAAAAAACAAAAGGATTTATTATCAGGTAGGGACGGCTTGCACAATCTTGGGAAGAGATGGAGGAACACCTCCTAACCCTCCAAATTGCCACTTGTCCTGGATCAGGAACAAATCCTAACCTCAAAACTCAGCTAAGGGACTTCCCTGGTGGTGCAGTGCTTAAGAATCGCCTGCCAATGCACGGGACACGGGTTCGAGCCCTGGTCCGGGAAGATCCCACGTGCCGCGGAGCAACTAAGCCCGTGCGCCACAACTACTGAGCCTGTGCTCTAGAGCCTGTGAGCCACGACTACTGAGCCCATGGGCCACAACTACTGAGCCCACATGCCTAGAGCCCGTGCTCCACAACAAGAGAAGCCACCGCAATGAGAAGCCTGCACATCGTAACGAAGAGTAGCCCCCACTCGCCGCAACTAGAGAAAGCCTGTGCGCAGCAACGAAGACCCAACACAGCCAAAAATAAATTAAAAAAAAAACAACTCAGAGAAAACGCCGTCTATCTCCCGTCCCCCAGATGAGAGACCAAGCACCTCGTGTCCATGCATCTCTTCAACCACCAGCTGCCTCTCTGCTGGCCAATGCACCCTTGGACCACCTCCAGTCTGGAGCTCTCAGCCAGCCACACCCTCCTAGCGCTTACTCATCATTTCCGCTGGGGCCAAGGGCCTGGGCCCAGCAAGCACTAATCAGGCAGCACCTTCTCCCCGACCTGTCCCTTCTTCCGCAACGGATGCCATCGCCCAACTGGCCACCCAAGCCAGAACCCAGGGGTCACCTTGACTCTCACTCCACCCGTCCCCTCCCCCAGAGTCTGAGGTACCCCCCGCATGACTTTCTTCTATTCTCTCTAGTGCATCTGGGATTTCAGGCCTCAGCACGTCTGGCCTGGGTTGCGTCAAGCGGTGTGCTCCTTCGTCTATGTCTCTCTATCTCTTTACCTGTGATCCATCCATCCATCTATCTATCATCATCACCAGTCTATCATCTCTCTTTATTATCTATCAGTCATCGATCACTTCTACCTCTTTATGATCAATGTATCCATCACCTATTATCTATTTTTTGAGGCGAAATTCACATAACACAAAATTAACCCTTTTAAAGTGCACAATTTGTTGGTAGTTAGCATACTGACAGTATTGTGCAACCATCACCTCTGTAGTTCCAGAACATTCTCATTACCCCAAAAGGAAACCTTGACCCCATTCAGCAGTCACTATCCAGCCCCTGGCACCCACTGGTCTGCTTTCTTTGTCAAGCTGAATAATACTCCATTGTACGGACAGACCACATTTTGCTTGTCCATTCATCTGTTGATGGACATTCGAGTTGTTTCCACTTTTGGTTACCATCAATAGTACTGTTAATAATGTTCATGTATGAGGTTTTTTAAAAAAAATTTATTATTTTTGGCTGCATTGGGTCTTCGTTGCTGCGCGCGGGCTTTCTCTAGTTACGGCGAGTGGGGGCTACTCTTTGTCGTGGTGCACAGGCTTCTCATTGCGGTGGCTTCTCTTGTTGCAGAGCACGGGCTCTAGGCGCGTGGGCTTCATCGGTTGTGGCACGCGGGCTCAGTAGTTGTGGCTCGTGGGCCCTAGAGCGCAGGCTCAGTAGTTGTGGCGCATGGGCTTAGTTGCTTCGTGGCATGTGGGATCTTCCCGGATCAGGGCTCGAACCCGTGTCCCCTGCATTGGCAGGCAGATTCTTAACCACTGCGCCACCAGGGAAGCCCCATGTATAAGGTTTTGATTGAACATCTATTTTCCATTCTCTTGGGTCTACGTCTCCGAGTGGAATTGCTGGGTCACACGGGAACTCTGCCTAGCTTTCCAGGACCTGCCACACTGCTCCCCACGATGGCTGCCCCACCTCTGTCCCAGCAGCAGTGCGTGAGCCAAGCACAGTGCTCTTGCCTCCCTCCAAGCAACCCTCCACGCAGCCTCCTTTAAGCATGAATTCCATGTTGTTTCCATCCTGCTGAAAACCCTTCAGTGGCTTCTCACTGCTTCTGAAGGCCAGGCTCTGGAAGTGAGGCCCCTCCCTCCCCCCTGCATCTTGCTCCTGATTTACCCCTGGGCCTCGGCACAAGCGTTCCCCCCTCCTAGAAGGTCTAGAAGCACTGTGTCCCCACTGCTCCTTGCCTGGCTGGCTCAGGACTCTTCCTCCTCCGTGTCCCCTGCCAGCCCATTTGGCAGCTCACTGGTTTTCTCTCAGCATCTCTCTTGGAGCTCGTCACGGGTGGACTGGACCTCGGTCCTCTCCTCTCCACCCTGGCACAAGGTCGGGCTGGGTCCAGAGTCCCCTTCCGGCTCAGCCGTCCTTTTCGAGAGATGTTGCTGATGCCGCCTGCCCACGGCTGTGTCTGCCGGAGAACGCACAGGGCAGCATCTTCGGCTGGGGGTGGGATCAAGGCTCCTCCCCCCCCCACAGGCCACTGCTGCCCGTCCCGCCTCTCCCCCAAGCCCCGACGGACAAAGACGCTGGGAGGCAGGGCTGCACTTTCCACAGGAGGTTTTTACTGAGGAACTGAGGGAGGTTCCCCGACCCGAGGGCTGAGGGCCCGAAAGGCACACGGCGGCGCGGTGGCGGGGTCTCCCCCTCGGGTGGGGGCAGTCTTTGCAGAGACAGCTTCCCCACTGACCCCTCTTTGGCACTGAACTGGCAGCCCCAGCGTCCCCGCCCCCACCCACGCCCTGGTGGTTGGCAGTGTAGGCCGGTGGGGTAGCGGGCTGGCTGGGGGCCCAGGCCACCTCTCCCGCTAGCAGGGTGCTCATGTTGAAGATGGAGAGGGCTGCAAAGGGGAATCCAATAAATTAGCTTGAAGGAGAGAGGGCTAGGGACGGAGGCGGACGGGGACTACATTCTTGTCATTGCTCGGTAGGAAATGTTGTGCAATTCTTTCTCCCGAGGGCTCTTTGGGATGACTGGTGGGGAGAAGGGGCACAGATGACGGGCCCTGCCTCATCGCAGGGCCCACTTGGCCGTTTTTATGGCAGTGAGGGTGTTCCGGGGGACGGGAGCCCCGGCGGGCCACTGGGATGATGGCAATAGAGAGATGGACCGTCTGTGATGTCTCCAAGGGACCGCAGAGGAGGGAATGGGGGGACTCCAGACTTAGGAGGCGCTGCCCCGCAAACACCAAGGCTCCTGGGCACAGGCTGGTGCTGTGAGCGGGGCCGCGCCTCTGGCCCCTCTCCCCTTCTACTTGCCCAGGTCCCAGTCTGGTGGGGCTGGGAAGTGGGCACGGGTTTCGCTGGCTGTCCTCTGGGAGGCCTGGGAGGACAGCAAAGCATGCAGGGTGGGCCCGCAGCGGGGCGGTGGGGGGGAAGGCTCGGTGGGCAGGCGCTCCGTTTCCTTCACGTGATCCGAGGGCTTGGTGTGGGGCGTGGGCCAAGGGCTAAGAGCCAGGGCCGTCTGTCAGGTGGCAGCGGCCTGCAGGACTCCAGGGCCTTGGCCCAGGATCTGGCAGAGCTCCTGGAGGCGCCGCTGCATCTTGGGGATGCCCGCCAGCTGCTGCTCAAGCCGCTGCTTTTCCTCAGTCAGGCTCAGGCGGGCGGCCGAGTCCAGCTTCTCGAACTTCCAGCCACCCTCCCCGTCGAACTGTAGTAGGTGTGTGTGGTACTTCCTGTCCCAGGAGAGGGAGAGGGAGGTTGTTTGGCAGCACCGCCCCCTCCCCAGCTGCAAAGCCACGGGCGCGTCGCTCGCCAGAAGTGAGGGCACCTACCACAGGGAGGGTCGGTGGGTGATGGAAAGCAGGGCAATGCCTGCATCCTTGGCCGCCTGGAAGATCTTGCCTTCCACGTCGATGCTCACGGCACTGGTACATTCATCCAGGAGGGCGTACTTGGGCCTTGGGGGTGGGGGCTGAGTGGGTGAGCCTGTGGACCCTCCAACAGCCCCAACAGCCCGGGCTGGCCCCAGCCCCCAGTGGGGGCGGGAAGCCTGATCTGCGTGCTGACCCCCTGTCCTTTCGATCCCATCCCTGCTGGGCCCTGGGGGGGCAGGGCAAGGCCTCCTGGTGGCGCTGCCCTCCCCGCTTAAGGGGCTCCCGGGGAGCACAGATGCCGAGCAGGCTCCTGGGAGCACCCAGGCAGCACCCTTGTCTCTGCCGCTGGCTCGGAGGCCCTCCAGTGCCCGAGGGAGCCCAGCCACTCAGGACAGAGTGGCTCACCTGTGGTAGAACATGCGGGCCATGCCAACTCTCTGCTTCTCGCCCCCGGACAGAACGTCCTTCCAGTCACACACGGCCTCCCAACCTGGCAGGAGACAAAGGTCGCTGTTCAGTTCAACAAGGGCCGGGCAGCACGGGCAGAGGGCCCGGGCCCAGGCGCAGTGGCTGTGGTGGGAGCGGCCGGGCCACCAACAATAGCGGAACACAGCAGCGCACGTGACTCGGAGAAAGGCTGTCCGCTGGGGATGTGTGCTCTGGGTACCTGTCCGTCTGTGGGGACACCGGAATAGTTCAAAAGAGTTGGGAGCAGAATTACATCCCCTCCAAGAAAAGACACATGGGAGTCCTCACCCGCAGGACGTGAGAATGCCACTGCACTTGGAGACAGGGTCTTTACAGAGGCGATCGAGTTAAAGTGAGGTCACGGGGGTGGGTCCTCATCCGACGGGACTGGTGTCCTTATAAAAAGGGGACATTTGGAGACGCAGACACGCACAGAGGAGAGACGGCGTGAAGACACAAGGAGCAGACGGCAACTACAAGCCCAGGAGAGAGGCCTGGAACAGACCCTCCCTCGCGGTCCCCAGAAGGAACTGCCCCTGCCCACACCTCTGGATCTTGGCCTCCCGGCCTGCACAACTGGGAGACGATACGTTTCTGTCATTTGCCCCACCCAATCTGTGGCGCCAGCGAACTCACACAGGACCTAATGGGGTGCTAATGAAGTGCCAGTGGGCATCAAACAGTCATGGCAGAGCCCCAAGGATGGCTGCGATGGGCTCTCCAGAAGGCTTCTCACCCACAAGCGCCAGGCCTGTGCATCTCTGCTTGGTGGAGCACGTCAGCCAGGCTCAGGAGGCGAGTGGGTGATCCATCAGAGATGCCTCCTCGCCTGCTCCCTCCACTGCCTTTCCAGAAAACTAGAGGTTTTGGCAGGGCACGTGGCCACACACAAAAAAGACAAAATCCCCCAGCTTGCTTTGATGAGAGGTTTAACCACAGGACTGAATTCTGGCCAATGGGGTATAAGTGTAAGTGGCAGCTTCTGGAACTTTCTTTAAAGGAACTTCCTTTAAATCACTCCATGATTTGCACCCCCACCCCGCCCCTGCCACTTTCTCCACCCTATGGCCTGGGATATGATGTGATGCCGGAGCAGCCACCTTGGACCGTGAGGTGACCTTGGGAAAGGAAGCCACATACAGCAGAGTGACCTGGGGGCCTTTGTGGAGTGGGGCTCGGCCTCAGGGGCCCCAGGCACTCAGGGGTGTGTGCAGCCCAGGAGGAGGGGTACACTCCCAGGGCGAGCGAAAGAGGCCCGACCAAGCCAGGGGGAAGCTGGGGATGAAGCTTTGCAGGGACCGTGGCGACCAGGGCAGGCCCGGGAGGAACAGCCCCACTGAATCCACTGCCTGTGGCCCCCTTTCTGCACAGGTGATGACACCTGGGAGGGACTCTCATGAGTCACCCGCCATGTCCTGCAGAGCCCCCATGGGTCCTCAAAGGCGCTCTTTCATTTACTGCCGGCACTGAGGTTGAGACTGGTACCTGGCCCCTTCTACAGGTGGAAAGGATCTCAAGAGGTCAGGTTTTGCTCAAGGTCAAGCTGCCCCTTGGTAGCCTAGGCAGGACTCGGACCTCTGCCACTCAGCTTTCAGTATAAAAATCCAAACTCTGGCAGCTGGGCCGCAATCTCCTCTTCCGCCCCTCTGGGCACGATAGGCAATTAAAGACCAACCTGAGAAGTCCCCAAGCGATGCGTTCTCTGGCCATCGGCCTGTCCCTCCCTCCTGCGGTCTCTTCCCAGGGGACACACCTCCCAGGCTCGAGCCAGACACGTGGGTGGGCAGGCGTCCCCTCCACCTCTGCTCCGCACGCTCCAGGCTGCCCTGCCCACACCCGTGCTCTGCCCTCTCGCTGAAATGCATAACTGACCTGTCGCTTCCCTGCCTGGCCCAAGAGGCCCTGCCTGCCACGGAGCCCAGAGCCTGGAGAGGGTGCCCCGTTGGATGGCCCCCACCAGGCCCGGCTCCCTTCCCGAGTGCAGTGCACTCGGGCGGTCCGGGGCCGCGCGCTTCCTGTCGGTCCTCCCCAGGGGGCGGGGCTCCCCAGGCCACGTAGCACTTCGGACTCGCGAACGTTGGCTGGGCCAGTCCCTCGGGGACTATCCCTCGGGGGCCAGGAGGGAGGCACGGGCAGGGGCAGCAGCAGGTTCCCCGCTGAGCCTTGGACAAAGGACGATGGATCGGCGGCGTCCCGCGTGGCGCTGACGCGTGGGCTGCCCCTCCCCCTACCTCCTTCCCGCTGCAGGATGTGGTGCAGGTGCACGATGTCCAGAATGGCTTCCAGGTGCTGCTCCGAAAAGCCCTTCCTTCGCATGTCCTCCACAGAGTCCGGGTAGATCACTTGGTCACGCAAAGAGCCCACAGACATGTAGGGCCTGCGGGAGAGCCGCGTGTCCGCCGAGGGAAGGGCGGCCTGGCTTCCCTGCCGATGCCCTGCTCCCGAGCAGGCTCCGCACGGGCCCTGCCTGCCCGAGGGGGGCTGACTGGAAGGCCGCAGACACTGCCGCACAGCGTGCCGCGCCCACCCGCTCACACACGCACGCACACTCAGGTCGCACACACGCATCACGGCACACATGCAGGTACTCGCCCACACGCACCCCCAGCTGTGAAGCTGCTGGGCGGGCGGGGCGGGGCGGGGTGGCAGCACCTTGCCGTCCTCTGCCCAGGCCTCAGGCCCTGCCATCTCCGGGACGTCAGGTTCCGCAGGTCAGAAGGGGTGGGGGCGGACCTGGGGACCCTGGCTCTCTCCCTCTTCCCCCCCCACCCCCGCCCAGCCGCCGGTGGCCCCATCACCCCACCGCTCACCTCTGGGGGACGTAGAACATGCGCTGGGGTGGGGGCTTGTAGAGCACGCCACCATAGGTGGGCCAGAGACCGCCCAGGATACGGAACAGAGAGCTCTTGCCGCAGCCGTTGGGGCCCGTGATGAGCAGGTGCATGCCCTCTTCCACCTGTAGAGGCAGCGGCCGTGGAAGCCGGCCCGGGCCTCCCTCCCCTTACCCATGGCCTGCCTGACAGCCTCGGAGAGGCCCCCGCACCCAGCACATGCCATCCTCCATCTCTTGGTGAGGAATGGCAGGGCCCCGAGGGTGAGCTCTGGTATCCGGAGCCCTAACCGGCTGCCTGTTTCAGGCACTGCCTTGTCCCCAGAGAGCAGGGGGCCAGCAGGAGGAGGGCCTGTTCTGCCACAGTCCAGCAAACGGGTACGCGCCCCAGAAGGTCAACGGCAGCTGCAGCCCGCTTCACCTGGAAGCCAAGCGTCAAGCGCCTGAGGCCCGCCATGAGCCGATTACATCATGTCCACTGGTGTTCTGGAAACACCTGCTATAGGAAAAAGGCCGCCCAAGCAGGCGGGGAGCGTGCAGATGGCAGGGAGCCCGCCGTCCTCGGGGTGGGGGAGAGCATGAGGCACCGAGTCAAGGCACGCGGGGTACAGCTTCCGCTGCCCCCCGCCATGTGTGACATCACAGCAACACTAAGGGCCTTCCAGCCAGTGCAGTCCTCGCGAGATCCCAGAGTGTGGCAGATACGCGCATCCATCTGGTTTATCTCGGTCAGTGCCATGGGTTGAGCCGTGTCCCCTCAAAGAGTCCTGTGTTTGAGTCCTAACTCCCAGGACCTCAGAATGTGGCCTTACTTGGAAATAGAGTCTTTGCGGATATAATGAAATTTAGATAAGGAGTGGGGTGGGCCCCTAATCCAGTGTGACCTGGTGTCCTTATAAATAGGAGACATTTGGACACAGAGACACGTGCACAGGGAGAGTGCCATGTGAAGATGGAGGCAGGGACTTCCCTGGTGGCGCAGTGGTTAAGAGTCCGCCTGCCAATGAAGGGAACAGGGGTTCGAGCCCTGGTCGGGGAAGATGCCACATGCTGCGGAGCAACTAAGCCCGTGCGCCACAACTCCTGAGCCCAAGTACCATAACTACTGAGCCCGCACGCCTAGAGTTGGTGCTCCACAACAAGAGAAGCCACCGCAATGAGAAGCCCACGCACGGCAACGAAGAGTAGCCCCCGCTCGCAGCAACTGGAGAAAAGCCCGCGCGCAGCAACAAAGACCCAACGCGGCCCAGAAAAAAAAAAAAAAAAGATGAAGGCAAAACACCAGAAGCCGGGAGAGGCCTAGACACCCTGATGTGAACTTCTGTTGGCTGAGCCCCTCGTTTGCTGTTCCTCCTTCGTTAGACTGTAAACTCCCCCGGGCAGGGCCCAGGCCTACCTCCGTGCAAATGTGGGAGGGCTGGTCGGTCAGGGCCCGGCTCCTCTGTGTGCCTGGCTCCAGGGGAGCTGCGTGGCCCCAGCCAGCTCCACGGCTGCCTCCCTTGTCTCCTTCCGTGCATCTCTCCGACCGCCCCCAACATCTCCCAGCCCCGGACCCAGCTCCACCAGCGGCTCTGCCACGACAGAGCTCTTGCTCAGCCCCTGGTCACCCGTTCCTCGCCTGACCTTGCTCCCTAACCAGCCACGCCCCTGCTCACCATGGCCTCTGAGCTTTGCCCAGCTGGGCTTCCACTGGGCCTGCCTGGAAGCCATTCACCCTGCATAAACTGGCCGTCAGTGGCAGCCCCACACCCCAAGGGTGACTACTGCCAGGGGTGATGGGGATCACACCACTGGCCTGCGTCCAGCTTCCAGCTGGCTCTCAGGCCCCCTCTCAGCAGATCAAGGAAAGGAGCTCTAGGCACTGGCCCTTCCTGCCTATTCCCTGCCTGGCCGTGGCTTCCGCTGCCCTGGCTCCTCAGCGGGGCACGCGTGGCCCCTGCAGGACCTGGGCCTGAAGCCCCTGGCTCCTCGTCCCTGCCCTGGGTGAAGCTTCATGTGACCTCTACTCCCCCAGGGATGCAGACCTCTACTCTGCCTTTCCTGTGGCCCTCGCTGGACCCGGGACAGCCATCTAACCATGGATCTTTTCTCTTTTTTTTTAAAGTTTAATTTGGCCACACTGGGCGGCATGTGGGATCTTAGTTCCCTGACCAGGGATCAAACCTGCACCCTTTGGCAGTGGAAGCGTGGAGTCTTAATCGCTGGACCACCAGGGAAGTCCCAAATCCGGGATCTCTGTAACGCTTTGGGGTTCCCCTGATTTACCTGTGGTTTACAGTGTCCAGCCTGGAGCTCAGGGAACATTAGTTGAATGAATGAATGAATGAATGACTACTGCACCCAGGACTCCCCTTCACTCTATCACTCCCTGACCCTGTCCAAAGCTCTGGCTGGGGACACAGGTCACTGGTGGACGTCTGCCCCCAGGGCATCCTCTCACAGACAGCTTGCGTAATGGCTGAGAGCCCTCCCAGTGGGCCAGGCTGCACCCGGCACACACCCGCCCTGGGGGCCTCTCACAGCAAATCTGTGGGACCTCAAGCCCGGGTCAGTGGAAGAGAATCTCTTTCATCACAGCTGGAATTGGACCAGAGTCCCCAAGTCCTGGGCTACTCAGGGATAGGGGCGGGCGTGGGGTGCTGCCAACGACAGGGCCAGGAACCTTCGGGTGACTCCAGCCCAGCCCTCTCAATCAGCTCTGACTCCACTGCCCCAGAACTAACAGTCAGTCAGAGACACGCTGGTCTTTCACCTTGAGCTTAGCCTGCCTGCCATGTAGACCTGGGGTCAATGGCTACTGGCAGTGCGGGCAGGCTGGCCAGGCTGGATGCTGAGGGCTGAGGTGGGTGCAGAAGGCCAGGCCCCGGGCCCCAGAGCTGGGCTCGGCCCCGCCCGTGCTGCCAGGTTGGGGCTCCCCTCCGCCCTTCGACCTACCCTGATGTTGAGGCTGGCCACCACTACCTCCCCCGTGGGCGTGACGATGGGGATGTTCTCACACACGATCCCCTGCTCCACATCCACCACTTGGCCTGGAGAGAGAACGCGAGGAAGGGAGAGAGGGAGCAGAGCTCTCCCGCCACCTGCCGCTGGGCGCCATGGACCCCCACCCGCGACGGCACGCCACTGTGTGGCCCAGGGGCCCTTGGGAATACAGTGCGGCTGCCCACCAGCTGACTACAGCCCCCTTGCTGTGCTCTGGGCGGCGGAGGGGCAAAGCCGGTTCCCTGGCCTCTGGAGCCCAAGCGTGGCGTCCGCCCCTGCAGCCCCTCAATGCCACACCACCTGAAAGGCGGCTGCGATGCCTGGGGCCTCTTCCCCAGCGCCCCAGCCCCTACTGGAGCTGCGCCCCCCTCTCTCGCAAAGGGAAACCCCGACCGGGGCACCTGGAAGGGACTGGGCACGTGAGCACGGTGGCCAGCGGCGGCCGCTCTGAGAGGGAGGGCTGTGGGGGCCGCAACGTGCCCAGGAAGCCCTCTGTGGGGCGCCGGGCAGCCTGCTGTGGGAGGGCCGGGACCAGGGCGGCCTCTTTGGGGAGGGCTCCCTTACCTCGGATCTGCAGGGACCCCTCCACACGGACACCAGACCTCACCATGGCCCCGGACCCTGCCTGAGTGTCCTCTGGCTCCCCGGGCCTCTTGAAACGGCAGTGCTGGACGTCTTCAAATACCTGGAACATCTCGTGGACCCGGGCTGTGTAGCCAGCCAACTCTGTGACCTGCAGGGAGGGCGACCGTGGCTCAGCCCCCACCAGTGGGGGCGGGGAGGGAGGGGAGATGGTAGGGGCGGGGGCTGGGCGGGGGGTTACCTCCTTGTAGGACACCATGACCCGCTCGATGGCGTCCGCGGCAGCTGTGAGGAGGTTGCGGGCGATGGTGAAGGCTTCCGTGCGCTCGCTCACCAGCTCCTCCTCTTTCGCCTCCAGGGCCGCCTTCTTCGCCACCTCCGAGTCTGCGGAGCACAGTGGGGTGGGGAGTGGCGAGGACAGTGGAAAATCATAACTGACCCACTGGGGGAGAGAGCAAGTCTGTCCAGCCAATGGTGCTCGGACAACCGGGCATCCACATGCAGAAGAAGGACCCCTACCGCACACCACACACAGAAACTCACTCAGAGTGCAGCACCGCAGCGGCCTGCACGGAAGAGCTAAGACCACACAACTCTTCGAAGAAAGCAGGGGTAAACCTTCGTGCCCTGGGATTAGGTGTGGCTCCTTAAATACGACACCAGAAAGCACAAGTGACAAAAGCAAAACAGGTAAGGGAGCTTTGACAAAAGTAAAAAGTTTTGGGCACCAAAGTAAGTCATCCAGAAGGTGAAAACACAACCTACAGACTAGAAGAAAATACCTGCAGATCATATATCTGCTAAGGGCCCAGGTCCCAGGCCCCAGAATACGGAAAGAACTTCTTCAATTCAACAATAAAGAGACAAACGACTCAATTAAACAATGGGCAAAGGATCTGAATAAACATTTCCTCTGCAAGATATACAAATGGCCAAGAAGCATACGAAAAGATGCTTATTGGTCACCAGGGAAATACAAAATCAAAACTGCAATGAGACACCACTTCACGCTCACTAGGATGTGGATACAGCTGAAAAGACAGTAAAAGTGCTGGTGAGGAAGCGGAGCAGCTGGCGCCATGAGACACCGCTGGTGGGGATGAACGACGCGCAGCTGCTGCGGAAGACAAGTTTGGCAGTTCGTCCAAATGTTAAACAGAGAGTTACCGAATGCCCCAGCAATTCCACTCCTAGGTGTACATATATCCAAGAGTGAAGACAGAGGTCCACACAAAAAATGATACATGGGTATGTGTAGCAGTTATTCCTAAGAGCCGAAAGATGGAAACAACCCAAACGTCTACCGATGCATGAGTGGATAAACACGATGTGGTAACTATGTACATACAATGGAACATTATTCAGCCATAAGAAGGAATAAAGTACTGATTAATCCTAAAGCGTGGATGAAACGTAAAAACATGATGCTAAGTAAAAGAAGCCAGATACACAAGGCCACATATTGTGTGATTCCATTTATATGAAATGTCCGGAAGACGCAAGCCCATGGCAACAGGAAGATTAGCGGTCGCTGGGGGCTGCCAGGTGGGGTGGGAAGTGACCACTAATGGGTCCGGGTTTTCTTGTTGGGGTGGTGACAATGTTCTAGACTTAGATAGTGGTGATGGTTGCACAACTTTTGTACGGTACGTTAATTACGCCTCAATAATGCAGATGTCGTGTCCTGTACTACAACGGCAGCCCCTCCCGAGCCTCTCAAACAGGAATATCCCCTTTCAGACCTCCGGTCTACCCCGTGTCGCCTTCATCTCTCCCCTTGCTGCCGTATTCTGTGGCCGTCCTCAATGCTACTATTTCTCCCTGAGAGCCTGCTCCTGTCTTGACTTGCTTTGTTCTTTTCTGTCTCAGCTGAGACCCCATGGTCACTCACTTCAACCCTTTCTTGTCAATGGCCTTGACTCCCTTGACCGTTGGACCCCCTAGAGGGGCAATGTTTTTACACAAGGAATGTTCTGGAAATGGTGATGGGGAGCAAGGGGGAGGCCAACTCTGAGGGCTAACTATCCAGGGGCATAAATGGATCTGAGGTTGAAGCCTCAAGAATGTGATGGTGGGGGTGGGCTGGGAAGGGCCAGGCAGTCAGGGCAGGGCAGCTGCAGTGTGGGGTGGATAGGGCCAGACAGCTGGCTAGAGCATCAGGAGTCCAGGGAACTGGGCGGGGCAGGGGAGTGGTGATTCTGACAGTCTAAGGTCCCTAGGCAGGGGGGACACAAACCCTCCTCCCCGGACATCCTGAGAGCTGCAAAGGGACTGCGCACAAAGGGAAAGGGTCTCCGCGGGGGCCCTGGCAACAGGGGGCCCCTCCCTGGAGACAGCACAGCCCTCCGCAGCTTTCCTCGGAGCCTTGGGGGCTAAGATGAGCAGCCCAGAGCCAGACACCTGACAGCTCTTCCCGGCCAGGCCGCCATGCCGGCAGGCCAGAAAGGCAAAGGTGGCTACATCTTTCCCTGGGGATAATTGCTGGCCTCCTCACCCGGTTCCCAGCGCTCTCAGTCTCCAGTTACTGGGGACACAGCAGGGACAAAACAGACAAACCTCTGGCCTCCTTGAGTTTAAAGTGGCAGAGCCTCTATAAGGCAGCCGCAGACGTGGAGCAGACGGGCCGTTCAGCACTTTGAAGAGCAGCGAGGCAGGGGAGGGGGAGAGAAAGGCAGGGTGGTGGTCTCACCTAGAGGGTGCCTGTGAGCAAAGCTCCCATAGAGGGAGGGAGGGGCCACAGGGTGGCAGAGGAAAGAGCATTCCTGGCAGAGCCAGGAGGAGCAAAGGGCCTGAGGCAGAAGCAGGCCAGTGAGACAAGCGGAGTGAGCCAGGGGGATGGGAGCGGTCCACATGTTCACAGGTGACTGGCTATAAGGGCCATGAGGGTGGGGACAGGAGCTCAGGACTCTGAATCACCCACAAAGCCCGACACAGCAGAGGCGCCAAAAAGTCCTAGGCCTTCAGAGGAGGGAGAGGCCTCGGGGACTAGACAGGCTGAGCTGTGCCCTGTGCCAGCTTCAGAGGGAAGCGGCCACAGGCATTTCCTCACAGAAACCACGGCTGGGTTTCCTCCTGGGTCCGTTCCCATGCTCCTGGCCTAAATCAAGGCCACCCTTAGTGTAGGTCCATTGGTGGAAGCAACTACCCCCTCAATTAGATCTTTCCTCTTGGGGGTCACCCAGAGAGGGACAGACAGCTGAGGGTATGGAAGCCCCAAGGGAGAGACACCAATAGGGAGAGAATCAGAGAGACTTCTGGTTCTGAAACACGCACTTCAGGCTCTCCCTCTTTACATATATCTGGAAACCCTCTTACTACCAAACTGCATAAAATATAATACCTTTTAAATCAGAGCTGTGCTTGCAGGAAAGCAAGGGAAATTCCCAGGAGTGAGAAGAGAAGCCAGTAGCCAGGTGCTCCTGTGACATCCCCAGAGACGGAGAAGATAGGGCTCTAGGTGCAAGGACCAAAAGGTCTCCTCTAAGAATTTGTAATTATGTGTCTGGGCTGCAAATTAATATCACCTGCAAGTGCGGGGACCCCTCCTCCCCCAAGCAGAGAAGTTAACATGAAAGTGGCCTCCAACTGGTTCATTACTGGGCAGCCGCTTGGCTAAAACTAAAGCAAATGTGCGCAGGGGAATCCTACCCTCTAGTTAGGCTGCAGAACCCACAACGACCACAAGCAAAGAAGACCGGCAGACGGAAGATAAAGCTGGCTTAGACCCCCAAGAATTCAGACAACCGAATAGCTGCCCAGAAACCATGGAACGAGCATGATTAATATGGTTGCCAGCAGAACTTTACAGAAATAGCCATTGAAATAAAAAACAATTCAAATTAGGGACTTCCCTGGCGGTTCAGTAGCTAAGGCTCTGTGCTTCCAATGCAGGGGGCACAGTTTCGATCCCTGGTCGGGGAGCTAAGATCCCTCATGCAGCGCAGTGTGGCCAAAAAAAAAGAAAATTCAAATTAGATGCAGCCGAAGAGAAAACTAGCAAATGTGTGAGCAGGAAAATCTGAGGAAAACTCCCAGCATTCAGCATAGACAGTGCTAGATGGGGAAAAGTGAAGAGAGACGGACAGTCACAAAGGAGTGAGAAGCCCAACACATCGTGAGAGTTCCAGAAGGAAAGAGTAAAAAGAATGAGAGAGGCAATATTTGAAAAGATAACAGCTGAGAACTTTCCAGAACGATGGAACAATCTGAGTATTCAACGGCCATACAACAAGTCTCAAGCAGAATAGACAGAAACACACAGGCAGACGCTTCCTAAAGAAACTGCAGAAAGAGAGAAAAGTCTAACCAGGGAGACCACGCAGCCTGCTGAGAGCGGTTAAGCTGGCAACAGATTTTCCAACGGAGGCGACGGGATGTTGTCAACGGGCTGAGAGAAACCGACCGTCCGTCTCAACTCCCTCACCCAACTGAACTTCAGTTCGGGGGTAGGGGGAGGATAAAATAAAGACATTTTCAGACAAGAAAATCATCTCGAAGCTCCATGATGAAAGCGTCACAGTAAGGACTTCTGAAGGACGGCTGTCTGAAGAAGGGTCACTGGGCCGCGGGGAAGGGCTGGGAAGCCAAGAAAGCAGAAACTCACAGGTGAATCTGAACACGCACCAACCGGATAAAGCAACGGCAAACCTGTTGCTGGGGACATCAGCACGTCAGGCGGGCTGGCCCTCCAGTCCACGTGTTCTAAGTAAGGGCCCAGAGGAGGAGGAGCTACAGATTAACCCAGACTGTTCTCAAGTAAGCACGTTAACCTTCGAAGGGCAACCATGAAAAGGCTGCAAAAAGAATGAATTCCTTGCAAACCAGTAGAGGAACAAAATGCGAATCCTTCCCAGTCCCCCCAAGGCCTTGGGGAAGGGGGCTCTACCCTCGACAACCTGCAAGAGCTATTGTAGGCGTGGGTGGGAAAGCCAAAGCCCAAGCCAGGAAGGGGCTCCCTCGATGTACTTCCCCACCCTCCCACTTCCAAGATGAGCCGAGGGCAGGGCCAGATGCGCAAGGGTGCACGCGCCTGGTGAAGGCTGTTCCTGACTTGCAGTCCCTGGGCTTGGCCAAGTGGGACCAAGAAGCATGAGATGCTGTAAAGGGGAGCCGCACACAGGGTAGCAGGCAGCGAGGAGCTCCGGGAGAGTGTGACCTGCCGGGTGCCCCCCGACCCCAGAAGTAGAAAAGTCAGGTGGGCTGGCTGAGCACTGGGGCCTCCCAAGCCTAGCCCAGCGGTGCAGGAGGACAGGCCCCCACTCACCTGACTCCGCGTGTCCGGTGGCAGTGATGATGGGGACTGCCACCATGAGCAGTCCCGAGGTGCTCCACACGTACTTCATGAGGAACTGCTCCAGCATGACGTACCACAGGCGTTCCAGCAGAATGAGGTTGATCTGCGAAGCCAGGTCCTGGTAGGAGTGCTGCAGCAGGGCCAGCTCCACCTGCAGGGATCGGGCACCGGAGACCCAGAGGCCTGGCGGTCAGTCCCACAGGGGCGACAGCGAGAGTCCCCAAGTGTCGCGCACACAGGCCATGCTGTATGCTGACCACGACAAGGTTGAGAGCCAGGGGTTAGGACTGGGCCACGTTTACAGGGGACAGGTCTCAAACTTGGGGGAGGTATGGGATCGACATCACAGCATTGGGGTACAGTGGCAGTGAAGGGGCTCACCCCCCCCACCTCCCGAGACCCACGCTCATCTCCTTTCCGTTACCTCTTCAGTTGGAGTGCTCACCACACCCCTCTCTTTGCCCTGGACAGCTTCTCGACATGGGCTGAGGGCAGCCACCTTGCCTGTTTCTTTGGGCAACTGCTGGGGGGCTACCCTGAACTAAGCGAAGGACAGCACAGGAAAGCAAAAGGCGGTTGTTGGTTTTGAAGAACTTGGTTCAATAACCTCTACCTGCTTAGGCCCCGCCTCCCTCTACTTTCCCACAGTTCCTCTGGGTGACACACTTGCACTGCATTCTCCCACCAGAACCTGCAGGGCACACTCCCAAGCCAGCTCGTGCAGGCATCGCCCTCAGTGGACAGCCCCACGCCCAAGCCAGCTGAGGACTCTGGCCCACCCGCTCAGCAGTGAGTGGGCCTCCCCTGCCCTCCCCCTCCTGCACTGGCCACTACCTGCCATCTCAGGAGAGGGACCTGTGCAGGGCCTGGAGAAGAGAGAGGAGGAGAGGGAGTGGGAGAGAAAGAGGCTCCCTGTGACAGCAGCAGTTAGATGGGCAGGGGGCTGGAGTGGTCAGGAAGCAGTCACAGCAAGGTGGCCACTGGGGCATAGATTTCTTGGTTGGGGGTGGGGCACATGCCCTAGCCCCGCCTTCCCACCCCTGACCGACAATAGCTGCCCAGCCTGGAACCGTTTCCTCTGCCAAGTGGTTTCACAGCTGACTCTCCATTTGATTCTCACCACGTCCCACTGTGTGTGTATTCTCATGTCCATTGCAGCCCAGATAGGCAAAGTGACCTGCCCCAGCTCACACAGCCTGGAGGTAATAAGAGGTATGGAATTTGGATCACATTGGCTGAGCCATTAGGAGGACCAAATTCTTGTAAACGATGCTTCATGCTTCCACTTATGAAGAAAGGTCTACCTAGGCACAAGCCAATAAGAGGTTGTGTGTGTTTGTATGTGCGTGTCTAAATAAGCCTCCTCGAGATCCCAGTAACAGCAGAATACCCTGCTGTCTGCCCTCCAGCCAGTCACCTCTGCCCTAGCCTGTTGATCTGAGCCTGGGCATGGGGACATCCGCCAATGGGACTGGGGTGAGCCACCTGCCTATACAGTAAGGGCAATCAACCCACCCATGAAGGCCCATCACTCCACACTGCTTTCAGGCCTTTGGCTGAGGCCTAAACAGACAGGCTGTGGACGCTCACAAGGTCCCTCCCGCCCTGGCTGGTGAATCCTCCCGGTGAGCATGCGATTTGCTGAAACTAGCCCAGAGGAAGTCCTTCAAGGAGCCAGTGATCTCTCTTCTACCCCCCACCACCCAGGTCTGCAGCACCGCTCAGTGGCTTTGCCTCAAGCCCATCTCCTGTTCCTGAAATGAGCACGCGGGCAATCCAGGCTCGTGCTGGGAGCTGGCAGGAGCTGACAATGTAGCTACGGGGAACGTGCCAAGTGCCTCACCCAAGGCCACGGCTGCCTGCCAAGGCCCTGAGGCCCAGAGGACAGGAGAGGAGGAGAGGGGGTTGCAGCTGCACACCAGGCACTTTTTCTCCTCATCTGGAGCCCAGCCCACACCCGGGATGCCCCCTATCTGCTCAGGAATAAACCCTTTTTAAAAATCAGAGACAAGCCTGCCTATCTGCCTGATGTGATGCGCAGCCAGTGAGACAAGGTCTGGGGCACAAGGCCACCTGACCCGGGGAGGACACATGGGCCTTCACGAGATGGATGCCATTGTGCCCCTCCCCCGAGAAACACTGGGAACTGAAACCAGAGTTGCAGAGAGCCTAGCCAGAGGCAGCCGCAACCCCAGGCGCGAGGAAGGGGAGGGGCCGAGGCGAGATAAAGGGAGCATTGGCCTGGAGTAACCTTTCCTAGGCTGGCCGTAGCTGGCCCGGCCCCCCACCCCCACCCGGCCTGCCGGGAAGCTGCACGACTGGGACCCAGGCGGAAGGGCGGCCACGCTGGGGGCTGGGTGGCCGCCGGGCAGGCAGGAAGTGCGTCCTGCCGCAGTGGCGGCCTGGGCCCAGCATCCTGGGCTGGGGCCTCGGGGAGGCGGCCAAGCCCACAGCCAGGCGGGCCTTCGGGCTCCAGATGGGGGAAGCCTTGACCTGGAGCGCTGAGCTCCACCACCGCTGCGGCCGGCACGCTGCGCGCTGCTCGTTAACCTCCGCTTGGGCTGAGTCATGCCCATAATGCCCGCCTGCCCAGCCGGCCAGCTGGGCCAGAGGCCAGCCTTCAAAGGGTCTGGGGGCCCAGGCATAAGGCCGCGTCCCCAGATGGCAGGAGCCTCCTCTCTGTTGGCTAGAAGAATGGGGCAACCAGGGAACTCTAGTCTCAAATCGCTAGGGTCCACAGCCCTAAGGCCAAGACAAGTGAGGTGGAGAAGAAGCAGAAGTGGCCCAGGGCAGTCCGCACCCAGCCTTCCTGCTTCTTCATTACTGTGCCATCTGAGCTGCCCAAGGCCCTGGTTGGCCCACACCTCTGGCATCAGCCATAGGCAGCCCTGGCTCTCCTGCCCCTGAGCCCCCAGCTACACACTTTCCGGTGCCCCAAGCTGCCCCACCTCGTGGCCCCCATAGAAGGCAATCTCCTCCGAGTTGGCCACCACCCGGGAGTGCATGTAGCGCAACTCCCCCTTCCGCCGCGCCTCCTCTGCCACCAGCTCCCCGAACTTGGGCGAGAAGGCTTGCAGCACGTTGGCCGTGAGGAACACCACAAGGCCAGCGATGGCCGAGGGCCAGGCTGTGCCGGCCCCGCGGGAGCGGGCCACTCGAACCAGGGTATAGGTGGTCACAGCCACGTCCAGGAGCGGCTTGGTCAGGTTGGAGTAGAGGTGGGCCACGGAGGCGGCAAAGGCCACCACATCCTCCGTCAGGGACTGGTCCGGGTTGCGGAGCCGCCCGTCCATGTTGCTGACCCGGTAGTAGGTCTGCTGGGAGAAGTAGAGGCTGTAGGCGTGGGCCACCAGCCGGCTGCGGAACGCCAGGGCCAGTCGGCCCTCTAGGTAGCGGATGGCACTGTTGACGAAGGTGGCGGGGAGCGCGATGAGGAGCCACTGCAGGAGCTGCCAGCCGAAGGCCCGGGGGTCCTTGCGCACGATGCAGCGGGCCAGCCGGCCGTCCAGGCGGGCCACATACACCGACAGGAAAGTCCGGCTCACCAGGGCGGCTGAGTGCAGCGCCAGCAGCCCCGTCTCCCGGCACAGGATCCTGGGGAAGAGCAGCCGCAGGAGCCGCAGGAGTCGCTGGAAGAACACCCGGTTGACACCGGCCTTGGCCGCTGCGCCCACCGTGGCCCCGGAAGCTTCCTGCGCGGACTCCCCAGCCGGCGTCTGAGGGCCCCTGGCCGGAGCCAGGCACTGCCGCACCAGGGGGTAGATTTTGTGGGCTCCATAGGCCGTGAGGGCTAGGACCACAGCTGTGCGCTTCAGCGTGGTCACCCGCGAGGGCCGGGGGGTCGAGAGCACCGTCATGTCACCTGGGCTGGACTCACGGGTCTGGGACTGGTGCCTGAGGCAGCAGAGGAGGCAGGTGGCTGGAAGGGTGGAGGCTCTGACCCCAGGCTCGTTGTCTAGGCAACTGGAAACCTCGCAGTGGTCCCAGATACTGTCGCTTTAGGCCACCCGGGTGGTGCTGGGCCCCCTGGTGCGGTGGGCTCAGGGGCCTCCAGGGTCGTGGCCTCTTCAGGCAGCCGAGGTGGAGGAACTTGTCAGTCCCCTGGCCCCTGGGGTCAGAGCCTCCAGAGGTCTCGGGCAGAGAGGGCGTCTTTTCCTCTCCACCTCCTCCTCCCCCGGGGCACCGGGCGCGTGCGTCCGCTCCGCAGCCTGGCTGAAGCGACTGTGACTCCGCCACCCGCCGGGAATCCCCACCTACCCACCCACTCTCCCTCAGGGGGAACTCGGGGGAAGGGGAGGAGGCGGAGGAGGGGTGGGAGGCGGAGCCAGGGCGCGGGGCGCCCCACCCCGTTCTCGCCCCACGGCTGGGCCCCGCCCCCTCCCCGGACCACAGAGACGTGGGAGGACCGCGCGGGCTAGAGAAGCTGCACCTCGCCTTCCCGCCAAGGCCTCGCCCCGACACCCCGCGCGCCTGAGGCGCAGCTTCTTCCCCAGTCCTGGGCGTCGGAGCCTCGGCTCGGGGGCGGGGCGGAAAACCGCCTTGGGAGGGGCCTCCGGGGCCTCGCGGCGGTTGGGGGCGGGGCGGGACCCGGCGGGTGCTTCCGGTTCCGGCTGCGGGGAAGGGGCGGGGCCGAGGTTGAGGTTGGAGAGTGCGGCGGCGACGGGGCGTGACGGTTGAGTGTGGGAAACTCGGTGAGCGAGCCCGCGCTCCCGGCCGGGCTCCGGGGTCGCCGAGGTGCCCCGGCTCCTCGACGAGGGGGGGAACGACGGGCAGCGCGGCGAGGCCCGGGGCGCGGGGCCAGTACCGAGCTGGGAGTGCGAGGGCAGGGCCGGGCAGAGGGAAGTCGGAGCGGCGGCGGGTGGAGCCGTCTCCGGGGGCGGGGGACGACGGCCAAGTCCATCCGGAGGAGCCGCCGGGGTGGGGCTTGGGAGGGCGTGCCGGGTCGGGGCCACGTCGGGGTTTCTCTGGAGTGGGGTGGACGCCGTGGCCGACCCGGGCGGCCGGGAGGGGCTCCTCCGGCTTTTGAGGAGACAGTCTTCTAGAAGTTTCTCTGGATGGGGCCGTGAGGTGCAGGGTCCAGACCCGCGTTTGCCCTTGGCCCCGACTCCCGTTCTCTAGGAGTCGCTCTCCGGGGCTTTCTGAGGTACCCCGAGCCCTTCCGCCCCTTCGGAGGCGGACGCAGTGGTCGGGAGACCTTGGAGCCCCGCTCCTACCCCGGGAGGGGCTGCTGGTTCTCTGTGGGCCCCGATGGGAGGGCCGCGGGCGCCAGGGCCCCTTGGCTTCCCCGGGGGACGGGGGCGCCGCAGCTTCGGGAGAAAGCGCGAGGGCGTTACGGAGACGGGGGCTGGGGTGTGGGGGGCGGGAGCGTCTGGCGCAGCGCTCCCCTCGGCGTGGGGGGGGCGGGGGGGCGGGCCCGGGCCCGCGGGGCTGCGAGGATGGTCTCCGGGCTCCACGGGTTTCCGATTCCAGGCGCTGCCCCGGTTCCGCAGGCGGGAGGAGCCTCCCGGACTCCACCGGGAAGGAATTGTCCGAAAAGGCGGCCCTGGGTGTGTTAGCGCCCAGACTGCCGGGGCTCGAGCCCGTGTCAGCCAGGCCTTGGAAGGCTCTGAGGTCGGGTGCGGGGGCCGCCCAGCTGTCACGACTCCTGTTTTTTTCTGTGCTCCCGCGGGAACAGGCTCACATCTCCCCGTTGGAAAGCTGTTAGCAACACGATGAGTCTGCAGTGGACTGCAGTCGCCACCTTCCTCTATGCAGAGGTCTTCGCTGTGCTGCTTCTCTGCATTCCCTTCATTTCTCCCAAAAGGTATGGCCCGTGGAGCGGGCAGGCGAGCCAGGGAGAGTTGCTCCGCAGCTTATGCCTGCAGAGTTGGTGGGCCCTGGAACTGAGGCCAGATGGAAACAGGTAGAACCTGTCTGGGTTAGGGGTGGCAAGGGTTGTGTTGATTATCGCCAACCTTCCCCACAGTTCTGCTGTCACATCTTGCTGAGTTCCTTTCCTGTGCGCCCTGCCTTCTGGTCTTCAGAATGTCCCAGAGGGGAGAAGACCTAGTTATGGTTCTGGGAATGATGCCCTCCTGCCGCCCCCCCGGGGGCCCTGGCGTTCAGGGGATGGCATTGTGGGATCTGCAAAACTTGCATCACGGGGTCATGTTGCCGTTGATTCGGTGACTTCTGTCCCCTTAACTAGTCTCACTGGCATGAGCATTACTCAGCCTATGAAGGCTGGAGCCATGTTTCTTTTCGGTGAACAGAGGACCTGTAGAAAGTTAACTTGAAATTAATTTTAATTACGTTTACTATATGAACACGTTTGGACTTAAATTGGGGCATTACAGATAAGGCTGTGTTTTTATGGATTTTTTTTAAAAGCTCTTTTTTAATGAAAAAGTGTAGGCCCTGTTGTGATGTGATAGAAAGTATACAACATTGCTTAAGGAATATTCTTGACAAAAGCGAGATCTGAGTCACCTCGTACAGTTCACAGGAAATGCAGAACAGAGGCCCCCTTGGAGCTGCAATCTGGGAAGCTTTGTAGGACAAACAATCTGGTTTCTGCAGACAGTAAACTGGGAAAGAAAAAAGAGCAAGGGAAGAGGGAGCTTATAGAATAAGAGAGACTTAAGATACTTACCAACTAAATGCAGAATCAGAATCTTGTCAGGATTCAAACAAACCAACTAAAAATAATTGTCTCAGTTGGACTTTGGAGTTCTGGCTCTGGAGTTCTGATGATGCGAGATTCTTGTTGATATTTTTGAGGTCTGGTGATGGCATCGTGATTAGTATTTTGGAAGGCTCTTCTCTGATAGAGCTGTATCCTGAAGTATTCATGGAGGGAAACAAAGAGAGCTCTGGGGTCTGCTTCATGGTATGTAGGGTGGTGGGAGTCCAGGTGAACCACGATTGGTCACGGGGGAAAACAGTTTAAAGAAATGTGTACGTGGCAAGCATTTTGATACTACAGAGGGGAAAGTAAGTTTCCCATTTCCCTTCCCAGAGCCTACCAGTGTTTAAGACTGGTTTTCTAGAAATTTCTATACACGGACATGTGTCTTTTTTTTCTTTTTAACACTCTTGAATGGATGTCATAAATTGGAGAATTGCAAGTGGCTGAGGCTGAATCTGTATGGGATATTCAGCCGTTGGAGACGAGTGCAAAACTGTATTTCTGTTCACAGGGCCCTGGATCCCCGGCGTGCGTTCTTTCTCTTCAGGCCTCAGCCTTTTTGTTTTCTTCACAGATGGCAGAAGATTTTCAAGTCCCGCCTCGTGCACTTGGTAGTGACCTATGGCAACACCTTCTTTGTGGTTCTCGTCGTCATCCTTGTGCTGCTGCTCATTGGTGAGTGAGCTGTGGCTGAGGGCAGCTACCTGACCTAGACCCTTTGACCAAAGTAGCCTCTGCTGCAAAGCCCCCGTGCCATGTTCCGTAAGCAGTGTACAGCTTTGGCTTCTCAGAGACAGACCACTGAAGGGCGCCTGTCTTTCTCTTGGGGAAGGAGGCTCCTTTCAGGCACAAAGACGGCGATGCTGGCTGCTGGCAGGGCCCTCACTTTGACCGGCGGCCTTTGTGTACCCGGCGATGACCACCTCATGTCTCAGGCAGCTCCTCACGCCCTTCCAGAGCTGAAACCAAGAGAAGCTAACTGGCTCATGCTGACCTTGGTCCAAGTAGTGCTGCTCCTTGGGCACTTAGCAACATCAGTCTCTTCCTCAGTGCCTGAAACAGGCCTCAAATAGGGGACTGAGCTACCAAGTAGATAGGGAGTCAAGCTGGGAAAGAAGCCGCCATGTCCTGAAGTATACGGGGGGCAAGAGGTCTGATAGCATATCTAGGGGGCAAATCCCAGACCTCTCTGGATCTGGGTCAGACTTCAGGTTCCTCGAAGTCCTTCCAGTTCTGAAGTTCTATAAACCGTGCATTGAGGTACACACCAGCAGGGGCTTGAAAGATGAACAGGGGTGGGGCCTGAGGCCAGGTGGTGGCATGATTGTTCGGAGACCCGAGGAATCAGTATAGCTCTCATCTGTCTGTTAAATGTGCCTTTTGCTGCGGTAAGTGATCAGTACATCCCCCTGCTTGGTCTCCAAAGTATTGGCTCACCTCTGCCATAGACAGTGGTCCTGTCTCCAAGGTGCGATGCCTGCTTAGACTCAGAGCCCTTCTGTCTCCCTGAGTCCCCAGCAGAAATGTGGCAGGGGGTGGGAGGCCAGGGGGCCATAGTTCAGGGGAATGTGCAGGGCTCCACCCACCAGCTGCAGCATTAGGCGTGTCTCCTTCCTGATGTCTCGGGGCCTGATGGGATAGGTTCAGGCAGGACTGCCTCTGAACAGGTGAGGTGCAGCCTATCCATTCCCAGCCGCGGAGGGTGGGTGCCAGCTGCGCACAGACCTCACTGTTCTTGAAGTACATGGTAAAGCCCCAAGAGGCAACTCTTTCCAATCAGGGTTCTCTCCCTGAGCGGCCTCTGAGTCCAGAACAGGTAGGGATTATGCATGTCTTCCCGTGAGCAGGAAAAGCCAGGCTGCAGGGTTTTGGAATTGGGTGTGTGTGCTTTTGCTTTTGGGTGTGGGCTGGGGGCAAGAATTGGGGTGGGGAGGGACCGTGCTGAAGGTGTTCACTTGGGGCCTTGCCCCTCTGCAAACCAGACTCCACGAACTCTCCTAGTATGGCAGGGTGGGCCAGGGGGGCCCTTTGCAGAAGGCAGTAGTTGGCAAAGGTGCCATTCTTCTTTTTTGGGGGTCAGGGAACTACCTGGATGTTCTAGAGAGACGTCCTGCTATGATGATAGGCTGCTTTCTATCCTAAGGGTAAGAAGCATAATCTACAGAGGCCTACCTAAATAAGTTGTTAGCTAGTAGCAAATACTGATGACATAACATAACCAGCTAGAAGCTGCAGGCCTGGCTGGCCCCTAGCCATCACTGGGAGGGGCCTAGGGCACATCTCACTGGGGGAGTGGGCTTAATGAGGGTCCAGGGTCAACTACCCTGGGCTGGAGGCCTGAGATAGAGGGCAGCACTCTGCTGCGTGACTTGGGCTAGTTTGGCCCAACGCCCCCATCCCCGGTCTGCTCTCTGCCATCAGCCAGAGGTGGTCCTGGAGGCGCTGGGGTTTCTGGATGCAGAAGACAGTGTAGGAAAACATGGTTTTTGTTTGTTTAAATCACAAAATAACACATCTTTAAAAATTCACAAATTCAACCTAGAAAGGTAAAGTCCCCCATAATCCCATGTCTCACAGGTAAGTATTGTTAAAAGTTTATGGTATGTTTCCACAGGCATTTTCTATGCTGCCGTCTTTATTAACTAGTACATACCGTTTTGGCTTGGATTCAGATCACAGTACACACTGTTTTGGATTGTGCTTTTTCCACTTACTGTATCTTAGCCTTTTTTTTTTTATAGCAGTTTCATTCTTCTTAAAGATTGGGTAGTATTTTATCATATGGTTATACTGTAATTCCTTCTTTATAGGCATTCTCATATCATTGCACATATATGCAAATCTTTCTGTAAGGTAAATTCATAGAGGTGGAGTGGATGAACCCAAGGGCATGAACATTTAAAATTTTATGTCTTAGTTTGGGCTGCGATAGACCATAGACCGAGTGGCTTAAACAAAAGACATTTATTTCTCAAAGTTCTGGAGGCAGCAAGTCCAAGATTAAGGTGCTGGCAGATTCAGTGTCTGGTGAGGGCTCTCTTCCTGGTTCATAGGTGGCTGTCTTCTTGCCATGTCCTCACATGGAAGAAGGGACAAAGGAGCTCTCTGGGGTCTATTTTATAAGGGCACTAATCCCATTCACGAGGGCCTCGTGCTCACTTCCCAGGGGCCCGTCTTCCTAATACCATCTGGTTGGGGGTTAGGATGCCAACTTAGGAATTTTTGGGGCCAGGAACACGCAGTCCATAAAAAAACATTGTTGTCCTGGTTTATATCCCTGCCAACAGTGTTGAAAGAGGGCTTGCTTCATGGTACAGATGTAACACAAAAACACCAGTAAAGGGGGACAGATTTTTATAATGTAAGATCAGCTTAAAAAACAAGCAGTCTCAAACCAGAAATTAAGAACCAGACAATAGCCATACAGTGATACTTTAACCCTCTCCCATGGGGGTCCATTAAGAGCCCTCTTTAGGTAGCTCTTTACGTACTGACTTAAAAAGATGTCTCAGATGTTCACTTTGGCAGCACATATCCTAAAATTGGAAAGAGAGAGATGATTAGCGTGCCCCCTGCACAAGGATGGCACACAGATTCATGAAGCATTCCATGTTTTTTAGCACATTGTAGGGTATACAGAAGTAGAAATGTTGTACACATGAAACTTACATAATGTTACAAATCAGTGTACCTCAAGAAAAAAGAGATTTCAGGGTTGAGGGAGAAAAGCGGTAGGTATGGGATGGTTCCATTTATTTTTTTTTTTTCTTATTTTTTTAACATCTTTATTGGAGTATAATTGGTTTACATTGTTATGTTAGTTTCTGCTGTATAACAAAGTGAATCAGCTATACGTATACATATATCCCCATATCCCCTCCCTCTTGCGTCTCCCTCCCACCCTCCCTATCACACCCCCCCCCATCCCGCCCCCTAGGTGGTCACAAAGCACCGAGCTGGTCTCCCTGTGCTATGCGGCTGCTTCCCACTAGCTATCTATTTTACATTTGGTAGTGTGTATATGTCCATGCCACTCTCTCACTTTGTCCCAGCTTACCCTTCCCCCTCCCTGTGTGATGGTTCCATTTCTATTCCACAAACACATAGATGTGAATACACGGGTGAACCAGAGCGCTGTGTGGCCAGCAGCAGCTCTCCAGAGCAGAGGCTGTTCACCATTCAGCAGGTGTTTGTGTGCCCCCTGTGCGCCTAGCACTATGCTAGGCCCTAGGGGTGTAATAGAAAAGATTTCTGCTCTCATGGCGTTTGTAGTCTAATTTGGGGGAGATGGACAATAAACCTGTAATTGGGGTAATTTCAGATGTGTGTATTGCAAAGAGAATGACATCAGGTAATGGGACTGAAAATGACTGCTTTTTAGCTAAGCTGGCCACATGTAGCAGGTCCTGCTGGAGGTGATTATGTTATGGGATTCTTACTCCTGCATTTCTGCTATGTTTGAACCTTTGATAAGTGTGAATTTCTTTTGTAATCAGAATAAAAGAGTTTAAATAATAAAATGGGCTATAAAGCTTAGAAGTGAAAACCCTTGAATCTTTAGCACGCATGCTTCAGGTCTTGACTCCTAGGCAGCTCATGCCTCCCTAGCGGGCATTTCCATAAACAGGAGTACCCCGGCTTATCAGTTGGATGGCCCATGACCAGCCCAGTTTGAGATAAACAGGACCAAACATTGGGGGCACCACGGGAAAGGAGAGCTGCCTCTGTTGCTGGCGACGTCTCAGATTCGGTGAGCACCTTGACACGGAGAGCAGGCTCATGGCCTGGGTAGAATGGGTCGGGGGGTGACGTGAGAAAAGCTGGAGGAGAGAGTAGGTCCAAGGGCAGCGCTTCTGACAAGGCATCCCCCAAGGTGTGTATAGAAGGGGGATAGCAGGGGAGACAGATTCGAGGGAAGCAAGACTGCCCCAGCTCATGCCGCCTGTCTTACCTGGACAGGCCAGCCTAGTCTGAGCTGGAGCTAAATGCCCGTATCTCTTCTCTGCTCCGCCACAGATGCTCTTCGCGAGATTCGAAAGTATGACGACGTGACGGAGAAGGTGAACCTCCAGAACAACCCCGGGGCTGTGGAACACTTCCACATGAAGCTTTTCCGTGCCCAGAGGAACCTCTACATTGCTGGCTTTTCCTTGCTGCTGTCCTTGTGAGTGGGGAGGGCTGAGGGACTGTGAAGGGACCTGTGGGCTAGCCCATGACTTTGCCTCCTCAGTCTGTGGCCTTGAACTGGAGGCCCTTTCTGTGTTAGGGGAACCACACAGTTTCCCCAGAGGCCTCTGATTTTTCTCCTGACCTCCGGAGGCAGCATGGAGGATGGGAGAGGGCTGACTAGAAGGTCAGAAGACCACGTTCTGGCTCTGCCGTAATCTGCAACACGTTCTTTTAGGACAAATGTCTCATCACTAGCTCGCTTTCTGTACACAGAGTGAAGTAAATGACAAGCGTTACCCTCCTCTGGGAGAGGCTCTTTGGAGCCCAGCTTAAAAGGGACCAGTTGAGGGCTTCCCTGGTGGCGCAGTGGTTGAGAGTCCGCCTGCCGATGCAGGGGACGCGGGTTCGTGCCCCGGTCCGGGAAGATCCCACATGCCGCGGAGCGGCTGGGCCCGTGAGCCATGGCCGCTGAGCCTGCGCGTCCGGAGCCTGTACTCCGCAGTGGGAGAGGCCACAATAGTGAGAGGCCCGCGTACCGCCAAAAAAAAAAAAAAAAAAGGGACCAGTTGAACAGGGGCTTTTTGTGTATGGGGTCCTGTCCTGAGAAAAGTGGGCAGAAATGGCACGAAGGGGCTGAGACCGACCCTGTCCCCAGGGCCTTCCCAGATGTAGACCTGTCTGTCACAGGAGCATGAGGCCTATTGGAGCCTGGGGGCCAAGGGCTTCCGGAGTTATTGGGAAGAGCCTACCGTGAGGTTACTGAGAAGTAGGGTCGGTGTATGGATTCTTGGGCATTGGAATGACTGGGTTTCAGTTTTTCAGAAAAAAAGTCAGTTGCTCTGCTGAGCCTGGCCTCTCTGGGTCATAGTTGGAAAGTGCCGGGTGGTGGAGCTGGAAAGGGCTTTTCAGGAGGATACATTTGATCACAGGAGTGATCTGCAAGGCTGCTGTCTTCCAACTTCTGAGAGTCAGGAACTGAGAAGGCTGGGAGGAGTTGGACACATAGCTTAGAGTTTTAGGGTTTCAGGAAGCTCCAAAAAAGAAGTATGATCTTGTGGACTGAGACTCTCCTGACTGCTCTGCTTTTGTGATCTCTTCCAGAAGGAGATATCCAGGGCAGGTATTATCTGACAAGGCCAGGGGACAGTGGGTAGCCAGGTGTACCAGACGAGTGAGTGTGTGCTCAGCTCTGTCCTCTCTGTGACACTGTGAAGCGAGGTGTTCCAGCTTAATTCCTGCAGCTGACTTTAAAGAATTGACATATAGCACAAATGGGCATCTGGTTCTGTGAGTGTCTGACAAATGCAAAGTAGGGTAACACCACCGCCACCGTCAGGGTACAGAGCAGTTGGCAGTCTCCTAACCCAGACAGGTGAATTCAAAGAAGAGCAGTCCTCATTTATACCTCGGCTGTTCCTGAAGGGACGCGCGGAGACTGAGAGAGGAGAGTGAGATTTGGGCCCACAGGTCCCATGCTCCCTCACAATCCCACTCTGTGCTCTGTCGTGGCAGCTGCCTCCCTCACTTTGCTCTGGCCTCTCCATTTGACAGGCGTGTAAGGAAGGCTTCATCGAATTCCCTTTAAAACATGTCGGGCATAGTAACTTCTTGGGCCTGGTTGTTCCAGCAGCCATACATCTGTTGCCTGTCCATCTTAGCTTGCTGTGTCTGCCATACCCTCCCGTGTCCCTCCTGGCCAGTAGCTGATCAAAAAAAGGATGTGAGGTTGGTCTTGTGTGACTTCTTAGAAAAGGAAACCGTGACCCCAAGGATCAGTGTGGATTCATCAGTTGCCCACAAATGAGCTGTTTAATTGTTTCTAGAATTTTCTGAGGTGATATACTCCTCCCTAGTCTAGGGGTCAGATCCTGTATGGAGGCTGTGGCCCTTGAGGAACCTCTCTATTTGCATGACATTAACCATCCAAGAAGAAAAAAGATTACGTGTGAATTCTCTGGCCGTCCAGTGGTTAGGACTCTGTGCTTTCACTGCCGAGGGCCTGGGTTCAATCCCTGGTCAGGGAACTAAGATTCCCACAAGCCGCGCAGCATGGCCAAAAAGAAAAAAAGAAAGAAAAAAAACAAAAGCTTATCTTGAAGACTGGATGGCCAGGTGGCCTCGCCTGTGTGCGTGTGAGCTGTTTGGGTTCTGGTTCTGCTTGAAGTCAGTAAGGACTTTAATAATCCTTCATAATTCAGTGGGCCTTTATAAATGGAAAAGGGCAGCCCAAGAGAGATGGAGCGGCCTGAGTTGCACAGGTTCTAAGTGGCCAGCCCGAGCTCACGCCGAGTTCCGACCCTCTGTTCAGATGCCAGCTAGTGTGCATTGGAGTGAGCAATTGGTGCCAGATGGTTGGTGTATAGCCTGCCTCAGACCGTAGACTGGATAGCGGGCTGCTTTTTTCCCCTGGATTTTGGTAGGAAGGTGCCTGGATCAAGTACACGATCTGTACATCAGTCTTATTAGTCTAAGTTTTAGGAGTCCAACGACTTTAATCTCTTAGCTCCATTTGTACATCTGAGGGTTATTAAGTAATCTGGTAGTATAAAACCTTTGGAGGAGGTTGAGGCTTTAAATAAACAAATAAGAAAATACATCCTGTAAAATGCTATCATAACCACTGTTGACACATACGTTTGTTAAATATTTTTCTAGACTTTTCTGTGCCTAATAGCAGCTACCACTTGTTAAGCGTTCAGTGTGCCAAGCACACATTAATTTTTATAGTAGCTCTGCGAAGAAACAACTGAGGTTCAGAGACCCCAGTTCCCAGAACTAGTCATCAGCAGAGCTGAGAATTCAGACTTAAAGTGATGGGACCTCAGCAGCCACATGCTTCTTCAAAACAGGGTCAGGTTGTAACTACCACGTGGGAACATGGGTCTTCCACTGAGTTTGTCATTAACATTGTTCTAGGACAACCCATCTGTTGCCAGCATTCTTAGGTGTCTACCAATTCCCCGCTGGTGAACATCAGGCCGATCTCCCCATTTTTCTGATATCATAAACAGGGAAAACCCCTCTCAATTGTCACTTTGCATGCCTCTCAGCTAGACTGCCTGGTACTCTTCAAAGTGTCTCTGCCCCTCTTACTGTCTGTCTCTTTCTCATCTGTATTTGTGCAAGTCTCACTTGCAGGTACTGACTCAGTCCCTGAACCCCTGTAGGCTGTTTGGAAAAGAGCACGTGGATCAGGGTGGATGGGTCAGGAGTGGCCAGAGAGAGGGTGGAGGGTTTTGAATGCCAGTTTCAGAGTTTGTACCCGAACCCTGTGTGGTAGAGCACTGAGTTTTTCCAGTGGCGCTGCGCCATGGTCAGAGTTGCGTGTTCATACTTGGCGCCTGGGGTGGAGTAGAGCAGGAGAGCCTGCAAGCAGGGGGACCAAGTCAGAGGTCACTGAACTGATACATGCTGGTGGCCTGAACCTGGTTTCAGAGGTGCTGGTGGA